GCCACAGGCAGCAGCGACGCCATGGTGGGGTGCCCCAGCCTGGTTGGGGCAGCCTCAGACACCCCGCGCAGCACTGCCAGCTACAGTACTGGCACTCACCTGCTTGTGTCTGGGGATCTGCCTCTCACCTTCCTTATTTTCATAATATTTACCTTCATAATACTTAGCCCTGTGGTGTTAGGCACCCTCCTTGAAAATCCCAGGTTGCTGTAAGGTAGCGAGTTGTTGGTTTCCCAGAGTAAACCTCTTTCTGTTTGTGATGGTGGAAGAACTCACTGCTTGAGCTAGCCAGTTTTGTTTGAGAGAGTCCATTACTAACATTCCGAAAATTTCCAACTATGTGACTGTCTCTCTGCTTTGTAATGTGCTGCTTCAAGAGCTCAAGCTTGTCCCATTTGGAAGGGATAAAGTCAGAAATATCCAAGTGTTTCAGTATACCTGAGTAACAAGGAACTTTCTGATGTCATTTCAGGTGAAAGAGACATTTCTAATATAATTTGCCCCCCTTTCTACAAGGGACATTAAAGAGCGCTGTACTGAACAATGGTAAGTCCTGCTAGAAACCCTTGCCCCAGGGAGGGCAGTGATGGCAGCCTGTGGGCCGTAGGAGAGGGGCAGCCTAGCCGATGCCTGGCAGTGCTCAGCTTCCCTGCACTGTGCATCTCTGGCACAGACAGTGCCAAAAGCAACCAGCCTGTCCTAGGTGGCAACTGCTGAGCATCCTCCTCTGCCTTCACAGCTCCTTAGGAGACTACCTAATCCTAATTGCTGTTGTACATGACTATAGTATACTTATATAGCCCATGTATGGCATTTAAATATATTGCATAATTTAATCTGTTTATGTATAGTGTAAATAAAAGCTTGTCTTTATGAGACATGGTGCCAACAAGTAAGAGATGTCAAGGTGAACCTCTAAGTGTGGTTTTCCTGCCTGGAAATTAGAGCAGATGGCAAGTATTCTCTGTATTTTGTGTTCTTTCTGTGTAACACCTTTCCTCCCTTCAGTAGGCTCTCAGTGCTGGAAGCCTAGGATGAAGTCACCTCCCTAAAAATCATCCTCAGGCAATACTTTTTGACATACTAAAAACTACATTGTTCATCTTAATTTGCTTGCTAAACTACCTTTGCTCAAGCAAGAGGTTCCTCATGGTGCCTTATGTGGTCCCTTACATTGCAGGTATAATTTGTTCCTAGTTTTAATAAGACCGCTCTCTTGTTTAGTAATTATATATAAAACAGCATTGAACCTACCTTATTTTTGGTAGGCAGCTTCCCATCCTTCCACTGGATCTCTGCACCCTTGGGTAGCCAATTTTGTCGTGGTTTCCCTTCAGGCTGAATTGTTTTCTGTATGAGCTGTTCTGGAGACCAAAACTTAATGGCTGAAGAGGCTCATTATCTCTCTCATCGTAGCTGTATGCAGCACCCACATATCGTGCACTAAAAAGAACCAACCAAAGGCTTCACTGCAGACAAGCACTGAGGAGTGGGGGTGGGAGGGGAAGAGGGGGGAGAAATGGATGTGACGTGGCTTCCTGGGGTGCTGCGGCCAGCAAGGGCGTGCTGGTGCTACTGGCCCCCACGAAGATGCTACCGGGTTGCAGCACAGATTTCCTCTAGGATACCTCTGCTGAAGTAGCACCTTTGGGTGTTCTTGGCAAGAAGAAACCACATGTCTAGTCAGCTTGCTCTCTCAGGAAATGGTGCGAGAAACCAAATGGTAAAACCCAAACCATTCAAACCCCAATGAAACACAGCCTTTGCTACTGAAGCTTTCCACTGTAATCTGGGTTTCTTCCTCCTCTCCATTTTGTCTTTTTTAATCCCTTTTTCTTTACTGAGCAACAAGGAAGAAGAAAAATAGAAGCATCAGAAATATGTTTTGTATGGCTGAGGATTCAGGAGTAAGCATGTTTTAACTCACACATTGTAATTGCAGTACATCGCTGGAAGAGAAGTAATCTCTATAAGGCTTTAGGTGTGGGCAGCAATGTCATCGAAACACAGTGGTGAGAGGTGACAGGCCATTAACCAGACAGCTTCAGAACATGTGCTGTCTGCCAGTGATATGTGGATTCACAGGTACGTGTGCACTTACTAGGCAGTCGCACACCAAATTTCAACATTGGCAGCAGCGTGGTAGCACAGAGAGTGGGCTCAGTTTGGGGAGAGATCACAGATCAAATATCTGAAACGTGACCAAGAATAAGCAGCTGTGGCTGTGTAGAAATTACCCTTGTGTGCTGGTCTAAAACTTGCACACAAACACAGTGCTTTGTAACCCTGCCTGAAGGAGCATCACCTGTCCTGCAACATCCCTTGGCTGCTGGCTGTGGGTCCTGCCACAGCCCACCCTGATGCAGCAACACAGGCTGGACCACGCTTCAGTAGATGCAGCTCCTATCTTTACCCCAGTGTCCTGCAGTTCTCCAAATCCAGCCAAGATCTAAGAATGTCCTTTTTTTAGATTTACTAGAAACTAGAAAGACCATCCTAGCACAGCAGAAAGGAAGGGAAGAATGTGAATCACTGGATTTTTCGAGCAGTGGTTGCAGAATGCCAGCTTTCGCTATGTTTTAGAAAGTGCCAGGAAGCTCAGGCATGGTGTGCAGTTCTCAGAAACGAAGCAGCTGTGTGACTGAAGCAGGACAGCATGAGATCTGACTGAGAAGCAAGGAGGAGATCTGTAATCCACCAAAAGCCTGTGCAAAGACAAGCAAATGTTGGCTGGTACATGGAGGAAGGGGTGGGGTCAGAAGGAGATGCTGCAGCATTTGGGTGTGCATGCAGACACATGTATATATGGGCTGGGAAGGGGGTCTCCACATGTCTAGGGTTCCTGCAGTGCCAGGAGCTGTCAGGGGAGAGACAGAGTCTGGGAGGAGCAGCCATCATACGCAGCTCTTTAAGGGGGTACTGTAAGAAATTTAAAGTATACGCATTTTTTTCCAGCAGTAATAGCCATCTCTATCCCTTGACTGGCTGTTGCTAAGACTGAAGATTTGATCTTTATTGAAAAGTGTTTTAGCACCACCCAGGTCTTCAGGGTTGCTTGGAAAAGCTTTTGGAACATGATAATGTTTCTGGCAGAATATAAAATGCTTAAAGACCAAGAACATTTCCTATGAGTGGAAAACCACATCACCTGGGCTTGCCTTTTCTAGATCAAGTGCAGTTCCTTTTGTGATCACTAAGTGGTAGAGTTCATCTATGAGGACTTCAGTATGTGTCTGCAAGCTGGAAAGTTCTTCCTTTAAAGTTTTGTTTCAAAACTATAACTGAGCTAAAGTGAGGACATCAGCAAAGCCTGGAATAAATCTTTGCATTTCTGCACAGGTCAGTCACACTCTGTGAGGAGGCTTTGGTGCAAAAGGACATGGTTCCAGCAAATCTTCCAATTATTTTTTTTTCAGTTTTGGAAGTTCTGAGAGGCTTACATTACAATCAGAATTAAATGTTTGCTTGTGAATCTCATCCACAATGGCAGATTTCCTCTCTGACTTGGTCCAAGGAACAGGCTTGTTCCACAGCCTGTTTGCATTGCTTAATGGCTGCACCCTGTTTTTAATTGATTTCACATTTTTGTCAGGTCAGAATGTCCTTCCAGAAATCTTGTAGGAAAACAGAAAATAACTCAAGGAAAGGAAAATGAGATGTGATACCTCAAAGAAAGAAGAAAACAGTATGAAGCAATTGCAGTTTGCAGAGTAACAGCATTGAATTACTGAACCTACTCAAAAGCAAATGTTTCTTTAGAGGAATATTGATACTTTGTTTCTATTCTCAGCTAATTACGACTTGGGAGGTGAGAAGGAACTGTGTACATGTGAGCACATCTGATAATTTTCTTATCACATTATGATTTGGGCCTGTTGGCTTCCCCTGAGCTATTTGCATGATTCAAGATTAATCTGCATGGCAATTCGACTGAAAGAAAACATTTTCAAGACAATCACAGTCATTTGGAGTAGAAAGAATCTGCAAAAATGTAAACCACCTCATCAGAAAGCAGAAACTTGAAACCCAGTTTACCAGTACAAGTTTCATCAGCAAATGAGGTCCGGCTGGCTGGTTGCCTCACCACAAGCTGTGTGAGCAGCCTCGGGGCTGAGGGTTTTGTTAGTTTCAGCAACGTGATTCCAGCTGGCAGAAAGAGAGAAACACAGGTGCTAAATTACAAAGCAAAAAGGACAAAAACAAAGACTCAAAATGGCTGTGTGAGATGCTGTTATGTCACCTCAGGTGAGGGCAGAGAGGAAGGGGTGTGCTTGCAGGATGGCAGCCCTGTGTTTCCGAGAGAAAGGGCTGGGAAAAGAGCATGGATTTGTGCAGATGGGGGCAACTGCAGTGGAGGAAAGGGGAGACCAAGGCTCTGTTTTTTCCTCAAGGCAACGTATGATCTAAGCCCTGGGTTGGGCTCTTGGCTTGCTCTGATCTCTTTCGCTGGTAATGGCTTCATTACAGCAGCATCAGCAGCTCCTGGGTCTCCACTGGTTTATACATGGGATGCATACACTTAAGTGAGCCTTCTGAATTATATGTTGGGGACATTTGTGCTACTCATTGCAACATGACTACTGACCTGACCTGAGCTCCTTTCCTTGAATTCAGCTCAGGACCAGGGTGGTCTTCCCTCCAGTCTCCCACAGGCATTAAGTGCTAAGTCAGCTTAGAAACCTGGGCTTTTATTTACGTGCTTGCAAAAACCTAACATTATGAAAAAGGCGCTTGTAAAAAACCCAACATTGTAATCTGTTACCCGCATTCATCTAGCAGCCTGACTGGGAAATCTTCAGTTTCTGTCTCTCACATTTGTTGTCATGTCCCCTGAAATTTCTGTTATTCAGCAGAGTGCTGGAGGGGCAAGAGGATTTTACGAGGTACCTTTTACTGTATGTGACGGGAGGGGGAATGTCCCTAGAGCAAAGCGTATAAAAAAGGGGAAGCTGCGCTCAATCAATCAGTTGCTTGCTCTTGTCGCTGAGTGCAGAGCTAAGATGATGGTCACTTGTCTGCTCCTCTTCAGCATCTGGACCGTTGCGTCAGGTAACTCCCTTGTCTGTCTTGTCTCATTGCTGTAACGGTGTTATAGACCTGCCAGCCTACTGCTGGGTGCTGCAGTCACCACCTGACATCCCCCCCAGGGCACCCCGGGGGTGACAGGGCACTTGTGGCACTGCATGGCTGGCATGGGGCTTCAGACATGTCACTGCCGATTGCGTTGCCAACATCCTCACCTTAATTTACTGCCAGTGCAAGTTATAAGCTGCAGATGTACAAATTTAATTGTGATTTGCACATCATAACCCAGGAAAATCTTCAAAAGCTCCCAGTGACTCATATGACTGAAGTTTGATTTCACCTCTTGTTGTCGCTGGGATTTGAGTCAGAGTATGGCACTGATTTGCTCTAAACAGGACAGAATTATTTGCAGTGAACGATATGGTGCTTGTAGGTATCTGCTCAGGCCATTAAAAGTGTGTTATGTTTGTTTCTGCAATTAAAAATCAGGTAGAAAAGTCTGAATTTATTTTAAGAATTTGAATGTTTCCATAATCATGGTTTGCACTCTGCCTGTGGCACTACTAGGCTCTGAAAAACAAAATGACTATCACAGCTTCACAGCTGACTTCTTGGTCTATGGTGGCGATCTGCCTGTCCATGGTCACAGTTATGGTCAGGGCAGGACCTGAGAGCTTTATCAGGTGGGTTAGCCAAGCGTACCTCTGGGTGCTGCAAACAGCCTCACTCCTCTTTGAAATGTGCAAACACATTTACCTTTCTTGCAAATCAAATTACATGTTCCCAGTGCTGTAACTGTCCCTGCTGGTATCTTCTTTCCCATGTTAATGTACACGAATAGATTTTAAAAACTATTATCCTAAGAGGTGTGTGGAGCTGAGCTGTCAAACTTGGGAGTATCGATTTTTCTTGCCTGTCTTCTTAACAGGTTTTCCATATGTGTCTGTGAATTGGAAGAAAAGATGGATTTCTTTTTTGTTTGTTTATTTTTTCCCTGGATACCTTTAATACCATGGCATTTAGCAGTGAAAGTTTTCAATTTGTGGGCTTTCAGCAGGGTCTCAGTTGCATAGCCTCAAGCTTGAGATGGGAAAATGGATGCAGTTTGTCTTCGATCCTCCCTACTTTGCTTTTTCCTTCTGTTTTTTCGTTCTCCTATCAGTCTCTTACAAGTGTGGCTGAACCATGCCATCATTTTTAGCAGCTTTACTGATTTGCTTCTCCTGTACTGCAGGAGGGCTCGGAGAGAGGTAAAGCACCGACAGCTGTTTGGTTGTTAGAGGTTATGGGAACCTCTCCACAGGTGCCCGTGGGATAACAGTCTTGCCAGATGGAAATGAGTCTCTCCCTTCACCAGATCTGCCTTTCTCAGTGACCCACCAAGACGCTTTGCGTGAGAGATTTCAGGTCTGGCAAAACTGTCAGGGTGGTTTTTTTGAGCCGTTTTTCATTATTTTCCATGGATGGAGGGGCAGAGAGAGATCCTCCAGAGCCTCTATGTGCAGGAGTGAGGGTGAGGGGCTGTGGGGGGGCTCTGCTGGGGATGTGTTACAGAAAGGTGATGAGAAAAGCTGAGTGCAACCCCTGCTTCTCTCTCAGGCTCCGTGCAGGTGATGCACAGAAAAGTCCAGTCGGTCCAGACAGGAGGAAACATTACTTTTTCATGCCGATCAGTCACAAAAGAAGACGTGTTACAGGTGACCTGGCAGAAGGAGACAGACGGGGCTGAGGACAACATAGCGACTTACAGTGTGATGAATGGCCAGAAGATAGCAGAGGGCTATGTTGGCCACGTGAGCTTTGCCCACAGTGAATTACAAGCCTCAGCCATCTCCTTTCATGGAGTTACCCTCCAAGATGAAGGATGCTACAAGTGCATCTTCAACACATTTCCCTCAGGGGCTGTGACTGGCAGGATGTGTCTCAAGGTTTACGGTAAGGCATTGTGACTGTGTACAGGCTGTTATCTGAGGACCAAGTGGTTTTCCCTGTGAAAAACCTTCCCTGACCCCTGATTATTTTAAAATTGCTTCAGGAAAGGTGGCTCAGTTTCCTCTCTGTCTCTTCCTCCCTCTATGGTTTTACCTCTGATGGGAAATTGGTGTTCTACAGTTCTTAATTTTAATTTCCCTTTAAGTCACCAACAGTGATATCCAAAAGCTGATGTGTAACCCATGACTTCCTCCAAGTTTCCTTGGCCACGTGCTGTGCTGACAGCTGGCCTGCCACAACCATGAACCCTGTGCTCGTCTGTAGCCTTTCACTGCTGCTCTTACCTCCTAAGCCTGGAAGTCGGGCACTTTTTGCTTACTCTGCTTTTGATCTTTAAAAAATATGAGGTATTTAAAAGACAGAGAGTCATATGTAAGACCACAGTATCTGGAAGCTGATTTTGAAGCCATAGTAAAAAATGACAATAGTTAGCCTAGGCTCAGGAAAGGGTTGCGAAAAAAAAAAAAGGCTGGAATACAGCACAGCTCATGGCTTTTGCCACACGAGTATCTTGTGCTGGTCAGCATTAATTAGCTTCAAGAAAAGCTGCTGGTGGTATGACCCCTGCAGAGTGTTTGTTTACCCCTAGTGCCTTCTGCTGACAAAGACACAGGCATGTCCACATGTGCCACAAGTCCTCTGCATGGAAAAAAAAAAAAGGATGCCCCTGGCTTATTGGGAGAAGATGACTTAAATTGTAGGTGAAAGGGCTGAAGGTGCGGGGAATATGAGGGAAAACCAAACCTGGAACAAAAATTCCTTTTCCTCTCTCTTGGGAAAGTTCCTAGAGTAGAGAGGAGGATTAGAAGAAATTCGCTCAATGTTTCAGATATGAAGAGGAAGGAGTTCCTAAAGACACCCAGTGCTGAGTCATTCAGAGGCTAAACACTGGTTATACATTGCAGGAAAACAGGGAAGCACCTTGCAGGGGCATCTCCTTCTTGTTTATTTTGTTGATCTAAATACTGAGTCAGATTTGTTCTGCTGCTTTGCTTTTTTATTCAAGTGGGAGAAGTATTACTCCAAATCCCAGCCTTAGGGCTATGATTCCTCCTTTAGCAGAGAACTACTTAAAATTAATGAAAAGGTTTTTTGCTGCTACACACACTTCCATGAGCAGCATCTCTTCCTGCACCTCGGATAAAAACGAACCAACAGAGAAGGGTTTCACTTCTCTCATCGGGCTGCTCCAGCTGCACCAGCATGAGCTTGCGGGCCTCTACCAGGGACTGGCTGATGGCGATCATGGTGGCATCCCTGAAATGTACTTTATTGAACACATCCTGGAGGGTGTAAGTGTTTGGCACTGTGACAGAAGATTGGAGTTCACTTAAGGTGTATTTCACTGAAGTTAATTTATGTGATGCTACTTAAAAGCCACAGTCTTACTCCCTGACTGCCCAACTCATAATGACGGGAACAACTTGCCTGAACAAGCTCAGAGGACTCCCAGGGACAGAGCGTGAAGCCAGCAGGAATCTCCCACAGCTCAGGGATTTAGGGCAAACTAACTGAGCAAGCCCAAGTCACCAGCTGAAAATGAAACATTGCCATGCCTTTAGCCTGTAAGAGGGGACTGCCAGGGATTTTACCAGCTGTTAAAGGCCTTTGCAAGAGGGGCTATTCCAGGACGGGCACAGTCGCTGCGTGATGAGGGGAAGTGAAACTGCATAAGAACTGGATAGGACACTGTGAAAAAAAGAAACAGGTATGGCTGACGAAATCTCAGACCTGCCTAGCTGAAAAGAGCAAACCCAGGAAGAAGCAGAAATTTCCTACCCTGTAACAAAACTCATTTTGGAATAGAATAGTTTTAAGTGTGCTTGGTGGATCTCTTTTGAACAGCCTGCTCCCTTTCTCCCTCTCTTTTGCTTTGGAAATACTTTGCCAACCTTCATAACCAAAGAGGATGAGGAGACCCAGGAAGGGACCGAGTGAGCATATGTGGAAGGAGTAGCATGTGCCATGCAAGAATGGGAAAGACTTGCTGGGTCATAAAATTCCCTGGGCATTTACTGAGTCATCTCTGGAGACCTTCTGCCTTTTGAAAATGGCACCATTTGCCTGGAAGTCTCAAGCACAGTGGAGAAATGCCACCACTATTTCTTAGACAGGGAAACTGAAACATGGTGTTGCTGGTGAACACCCACAGCGTTGCAAAAAGCTTCCTGTCATCATGAGGCATACTGTAATTCCTAAATTTTTTTATCAGTCTCTCCAAGGCTGCTGTCAAGCTTTTAACCATATGAAGCACATCATGACCTGACAGTCCCCCCTTAATTACAGAAGGCCATTATAAATGATCAAAACTGATGCTCTTCCCTGGAAAGTACCTTTTTCCAAATATTTGGGAATACTACCACAGTTTGAATCTGGAAACATTTGGATTACTACTCTGCAAGAGCTACTAAAGCAAGTACTCGCATACAACATATTTTGTGAATACTTTTTCATTATTTTGTCTATGTATCAGACATCAACAGTGGGCAGACACTAACAAAGAGCTTAGCAGGACTTTTCTGCAAAGTAAGCACTTAGAGGTTTTTGACTGTGCATCTGTTCCAGGCACTTGGCAAAGGGAAGCTCAAACCTACAAGATTTTTTTTTAACATGATCACCTTTCGTTGTCCAATGTGGCTAAAGAGGGGACTGCTTAGTCAGAAGAAGAGCAGATGTGAAGTGCATTCATTTCTGCCAAAGTGCTGAACTATTTTTCTCTGGAAAACTTGGTGACAGCTTTCCTTTACTGCTTTTAGATGTTGTAACACAATATTTGAATTTAATGCTGTGGGTGGATATGTTATTTTTATGCATCCCGTGAGCGAAAGAAGAAGTTCAGAGATCATTCTTAATCAAAATATAAGCTGTTTGTGACACTTGTCTTTTCATACAGGGGAGATTTTGAGAAGTTCCAGCTGAAATTCCCCTACACGCTTTTGTTGTTGCCCTCAGAGTGACACTAGTCAGTTTCATCAACTCCCTGCGATTTGAGTTTCTGTCTATGGGTAGTGAAAAAAGTGAGAAATACACTTTTTTTTTCTAGGCAGGCACAACCATGGTATATAAATGAGGTATAACAATCTATATATATTAAAAAAAAAAACAAACCAAAAAACTCAGGCAAAACTGATAGCATACAAGGTCTTGCTACCACCCTTTGGCAGTTATGGCTTGGAGGATCCAAGCAACCTTATGAGGTGCATCATAAATTGTACCGGAACGTTATAGGCACCATTATACACCTAGCACAAGGATTATTTAAATTCATTCAGTGCCTGCTACACCTCATTCATATCCAAATCCGCATTTACCTTCCAAAAAGAAAAAGAGTATTTCTGTTACTAAGAGGAATAAACAGGTATTTTTATTTGTTTAAAAGCAGTATCACTGAATTATAGTGATATGTTTGCTACCATAAATATCACACTGGCCATTGTTATTTTTGCAATGTAAGTAGTAGCATACAAAGGTAGTACTATGAAATATAGTAATAAATACTTTTTTAGTCAGAGGGTATTCATATTAACTCAGACTTGAATGAAACTAGAATCGCCATTGCACTGAAATGGTTTTAAAAAGTAATATTCTCAGAAACAGTGATCTAGAAATAGAGTGTAGTTTGGATCTCAAAGCCAACAGCACATGCCCTGAAGAAGAGGGCACAGGGGTGAGCTGCCATACTGAAACCTGTGGATCCACTCCAAAATGGAGCTATGTATCTTTATAGATCTTGACCCGAGCAAATTGAGCTAGATTCACATTGAGCAGAAGTTTGGACTAGATGACATCCAGAGGTCCTTTCTCACCTAAATTACTGCATGGTTTTATGACTGAGGAATAAATAGCTGATTTTCCACAGGGGATAGATGTGTCCTTATGTGTTCAGATCTCCTCCGGAGTTCTACCTTGGCTGAAAATGCCTTCCTGCACTCCTCCCCTTTCTTTATTCTTTGCAAATGTAGTTGCATAACTAGGAATCCACAAGCAGGCCTCATGAGAGTGAGCAAGCGTGAATGGCGCCTGTAGTTCATCCTTCTTGCTAACTGTGACTAAATGTAATGGCTTCTGCAAATCTAGGGTGAAAAGGAGTTCAGAAGAAATTAGTGAAGTTTTTGAATGATACCATGATGCCCCCAAACCCCAACACTAGAGGGAAGAAAGTTGTGTAAGCACAAAGCATGTATAGGTGAAATCCTGTGGTGTAACCACATATCAATTCACTATTACTGTCTTGCATAAACAGATGCAGTTAGTCCTTCGGCCCCCAAGCCTAAAGAGCTCAAACAGCAGTAAAGCTAATCCTGCAGATACATTTAAGGGAAAAGAACAAGAATTTTGACTCACTGAAGCAGTTCAGCCCTTTCAGAGGGAGGAGGACATGCATTTTCACAGTTTCCCTAGCTGTTGCTTTTTGCTTGTGCTGCCACTCATAGCAGAATTGAAACATGGGTGTTTCTACCCTCTTGTCCTTTGTTTTTGTCAAGTTCTTCATTTCCAGCCCGGTGCCTGATCACTTTCATGTCTTTTTGTCATTGTCAGGGCTTTGGGGAGGGGAAGGCAAGAGTAGATATCAAGGTTGTCTTTCAAGATAATGATAAATACAGATGCTCTTTGCCCAAATGTGAACAGAAAGTAATGGATTTTGTAACTTTGTGTTTTGCAGCCATCTCGGAACCCAAAGTGGAGGCTAAGCTTATATCCAGTCCAGACAAAGCTGGGGACTCTGAGAAAGTGGTGGAGATGAGCTGCTCAGCAACGGGGAAACCAGCTCCAAAAATCACCTGGCACCTTCCCAGCATCCTGCAGCAGAAGCCAAGGGAGTACCATGTCAAGTTCAGCAACCAGACCGTAACTGTCATCAGCAATTTCACCCACATCCACTCCAACATCCTCCAGGAGTACCCCATCACCTGCATGATCCAACACCCCTCTCTAAATGTGACCCTGGTCCTGCCCACAGACGACCTGGCGCAGGGTCAGTGTGTTACCCTGCTCCTACCCTGGAGTGGGGAGGGGACTACAAAAACCTGCTGGGGTAGAGCAGGGAACTCCTCAGAGAGTTGGGGGCAGGCTGGGGAGGCACCAGAAGGAGCAGCTGGCAATGGAGGAGTTGCCGGGGAGCATCCAGACACCCTGGGCAATGGCATACAATGTCTTAGTGTCCCCTGTACATCACAATGAACCCCAGCCTCCCTGCCTCTGTCAAAAACTCACAGGGTTTCCCTGTCAAACAGGCAGACACACCAGCAAGACACGCCAGCTTTGGGCAGCTCAGAGGGACAAAGTGACTCTTGCCAAAAACAGCATCAGACCTCAAGCACAGGTCTGCTGGTGGTGCTGCTGGTGTGCGCACTAATGTGTGCTCCCAGTGCCCCTGTGCATCCTGTCTCACCCTGGAGACTGGGAAGGGGATATCTGTAATAGGTTTGGGGTTGTTTTATTTTGTTCTTACGCAAACTGAGTACCCACTGCTTTCCCCACAGGTCTGGACAGCAGCTCAGCACCAACCATCGCCATTGCAGTGACGGTGCTCATCCCCCTGGCTTCCCTCATCCTTCTCATCTGCCTCTTCCACTGCTGCCTCAGGCACCTACGAGATCCAGAGAGAAATCCAGCCAGGCCATGCTGGGTAGGTCTGCCTTTCCCCAGGGTGCTGCAGGGCTCACCCTCACCGGTCACTGGACTTGATGCCGGGACATAGCTCTGTCCAGCCACCCCAGGGTTCTGTGCATGCTGCCCAGCCTGGGCTGCAGCAGGGATAGAGAGAGGCAAAGGGATGAGTCCCCAGCCAGAGAGCAGAGTAGCAGCATGCTGGAAAGGGGGAACTTGAACTAAGACCCATAAATGTCCAACAGTGCTGACAGATAGAAAATAGTCACTTTCTCAATTCGAGGCATGCTGAAGGGGAATTATTGCTCTGTCACTGTATTTGTGCACAAAACAGTTGTGCAAGCAGTGGCTGTACCCTTGTACTATTCACGTGCATCTCCTAAACTAAGATCCCTCTGGCACAGCCAGCGCAGCTCATGGAGGAAGCAGCTTTGAGGTTGTGCCCCACACAAAATGGGGTCTTAGAGAAAGAGCATGCCTCTATGAGGAAAGCCCAGGCTACTGCCCTGCAGCAGGGACCAAAGCGCTGCTGGTTGTGCACCGAGGCCATCCTGATGCAGGGAGTGAAGGATGCAAGCTCGAGGTAGGGGTAAACTGAGTGAGGTGGAACCATTCCAGAAAATCACAGTCCAGTTTTGTGCTGAAGGCACCTCAGCCTCTCCATAGGACATGCCTGGGGCATGCAACCTGACTTTTGATAAGCATTTTGGAGTAAAAGAAGCAGTGAGAAGAAATGCAGTACACATATTTTTCATGGGCGCCATGCCTCTACATCCAAACTGGAGCCTGCTGGGACACTTGTGAGGAAAAGTTCAGTCTCCCCTGACACAGAGAGATGCAAGGACCCATTTGGTAACACAGCCCAGGTCTTTACCCCTGCACTTAAAACATCCATATATTTTGAAGAAGGGGAAAAAAAAACCAAAACAACAACAAAACAACCTCTCTTCTGTTAGGTCCTTCCTGCTTGTAGCAAAGCCAAGAAGTGTGGGCAGTATGGAGCTGCAGGCAGGCAGGCTCCCACGGTGCCCTCGTGCCCCCGCGTGCTGCTGAACACCTGAGGAGCTGCTCACCCTACATGTGCGAGAGAGAAATGTCCTACAATGGCACCTCAGGCTTCCAGATAAACCTGCTGTGACTTGCTCCAAGAGAAATACATAAAAAGGACAATTCATAATAGATATTTATTTATTTATACTATAATATTCTCTTTTGCACAAAAAAGCTGTGAAGTATTTATTTGAGACTCAGGATGGCTGCGTGGATCTGCATAATGAAACTTACGTTTTGTATTTTCTGGGAGGTTGATTATTATGTTTATTCTTTTCTGATATTTTAACACTGCAAGCTCAAAATTAGGTGGGGCTGGTCTGAAACGGGACAGAATTTTGCAGGGGTGCTGGCCTGAGAGGTGTTGATGGTAAGTCAAAGGAGACCCCCATCAGGAGCTGGGATGCAGAAAACCTGTGGAGAAGCCTAGCACGCTGCTTTGTGTGTTGAACCTATTCCCCAAAATGTATGAGAGATTAGGCCAAGATTGTAACTGGCCTGAACTTGTAACCCAGGTGCCAGAAGCGACAGGCTTCAAGCCAGGAGTCATTAGGCATGAGGAAACTACCAGCATCGACTCCCACCAGCCTCTCCTAGAAAGTAACATAAAAGCAAAGGCCACATAACTCTTTCCTTCTTCTTCTTCTGTGGTCTCCACAGCCACCTTCTTAATTTCCCTAATCCATCACAGCTGTCTTGTGTTCCCAGGCATCCCACCTGCCTGCAGGAGGATTTTTCTGAAGGAGCAGGAGGCTGCTTGGTGGGTTTTGTGCATGTCATGGTGTGGTAGGAGGTGAGGGTGGTGGGAAGGGGTTATGTGCTGCGTGTGGGCAGATAGACACCAGTATAAAGGCAACAAATATTACCTATCACTGAAATTCACTGCTTGTGACTTGTAGCTCAAATCTGAGCAGTTCTCTTATAATTCCCTGAATCCCATCCTATGCCCATGAAATCCTTACCTGTAGACCCAGGGAAGGAGAAATGAGCCCAGCTGGCTGGTGTGCTCTTGCAAGCAGCATGAAGGCAGTCAGTGCAAGTTGTTTCCTCCTCTCCTTGTTCCCTGGAGCAAGTGTATGTCATCTGGTGTGGGTTTTTTTCTGCACCCATTTATTTCAGCTGTTCCAGATGAATTGGGCTGAGTTGTAGTTAAAAAAACCCAAATAACTTGAAATGAAAGCAAGTGGGCTAGCTGAGAATGAGTAAACCCAGTTCTTGTCATACAAATGCTTTTTTAGACTCCCTAATGCTTAGTAATAGCACAGCTGGTGAGTGCAGGGAAAGGGGAATCAACTGCAACTGTCACAATCAGAAATTTTTCTCCTGAGCCCTATAATTCTTAAACGAGAAGCTGCATTTTGCCCATGTTTTGCAGCTTAATTTCCCTCTTCTCTGTGAGGGAAGGGGCCAGGGGAAAACCTGGGCTGGTGGTTTGGGGAGGAGCAGAATGGGGGCAAGAGGGCAGGGCTTGGCCGCTGGCACTGCTCCTGCACAGGCTGCAGAGCCTCAGCCCTCGAAGCTTAGCAGCGTCCACACTTGTGCTTCGGTAGAGGAAGGTTGGGGAAGGTTTTTTGAATTATAAAGGTTTCCACTAATGTTTAAACTAACGGTTCTTTTTGTTTGTTTTTTTTTAAAAAAGTAAATTACTATAGCAGAAAGAGGAAGTCTGGGTAAAGGTTTCCAAAGCAAAGAGAGAAAGGCAGAAAGTTGGTGAGAAATCTTTATGAACTCGCAAAGATTGCAGAGGTTGTTATCATTTTCTACAAGCTGATCACCTGGAGTGGGGGAAAGCACAGTTTGAAGTCAAGAAATATGTGGGATTGTAATTCTGTTTTGTTATTTAGCTGAATGTTGAATTGTGAAAAGATTTTGTAGGTTTCTGCTTATGAGCACAATAGGACACTGAACGAAGGAGGAGGATGCAGTAGCTTGTAAGCAAAATGCTGTATAAGAAAGGAAGACTGATTTGTTTGTCTTTCAAGTTATCAGAATAAGAACAGAAATGACATTCAAAGGCAGAATGCTTAAAACCGATGCATATATCTTCCCTTGTGCTATACAAAACCAGCTGCTAAAAAGCAGTGCCATAAAATTCTGTATGCTAGTGCTGTAGAGTTTGGCTTCGTGTAGCAATTAAATTAATGTAAACAATATGAACTGTGCATAATTAACTGACTTTTAGGTGGGGAAAAGAAAAGTACAAAATAGATACAAATCACCTTTCAGGGAACAAAAACGCATGGACTGAGGGAACCAGAAGTTTTACTCTGGGTGAATAACAACTGCTATTCTAAGGTTTCTTTTTGATTATCTTCTACTTGTTTGTCCTGTTATCTTTTAGCATTTGTCAGTAATTATTTGGAGTTTGTATTTTGGATGGGTTTAGACATATACTTAGTATTCGTTTTAACAAATAGTGTCTAGGTCATGAAATGCTGCAAACTATGAGTAAGTAAAAAAAAAAAGAAGTAAAAATAAGACTGATAAGAAATTAAAGCAGAATGGACTGCTTTAATTTGCTGCTTTAATATGAGCAATATGAAGCAGCTTAGCTTTGTAAGTGAAAGCAGAGCACGTTTTTAAAGTTTACTCTGTAGGAATGTTCTGAGCTGATATTGCCACCATCCACAAAAAAAAAAGCTAACTGCAACAAGCCTAGGCTTTTGCCTCTGCCTTGTGGCTGGGCAGATGTTGGTCTGACCCAACCCTGTCTTCAGCCATCTCCTGTCACTGCAATTTGTTGAGCTCCGAACAACAGCAGTGTTAATATCAAGCATCATTTTTCCTAACAGGTGGAAAGAGGGCTGGTGGTAATGCCACACTCCTCCTTGCCCCTTACTTGGGTAAAACTGGCTCCGAGGAACATGTTCCTCTGTGCAAACCAAGTGGGATTATTTAGCCTACACCTCTCAGCTCTGGAGTCTAATCTTGACATTAGCCAGCTTGGGTTAAGGTTTTAACTCATGTAGGACCTTAAAGCAGTGTCCTTTTAAACTGTGTATTTTGTATATATATATATGTAGGTATTATAATAAAGAGTCCTCAGACTGTATAAAATGTCCAGTTTCCTGTTTTGGCATGCCAGACTGTTTCAGAGCTTTATGTGTTGGTATTTTTCTCTCCCTGGGTACTGGTCTCCTGATTCTAAAAAGGCAGTAAGATATGAAGGGATCACCTCAGCAGCCCTGACTGAAGATGTGACTTTGAAATGTGGCTGAAATGCTGCCCTCAGATGGTTTACAAGTCACTGGCTGAAACGGGAAGAATAATCTTTTTCTGAAGCCACTGCTGGCAGAGCCATGGGACTAAATCCACACAGTGAAAAGGAACTTTGTTTTGGTCATAAAAGATTAATAGCATTCCTGTTGTGTGACCTTGGGGAAGTGATTCATCTACTCAATACCACACTAGTAAATTTTATGAGCTCAGTCACAAAAGAAAATATAACCTGTTGTTTTTCTTTCAGTTTTCAGCACTGAGCCCCTGCAAATCAGCTGAGTGGATTTCTCTCTTTCATAAATGAGACTATCAAACCAGGCAGAGAAAAACCAAGTGTATTTTTGTTTTCACTCCTAGTATGCCAAAAAAATTGCTCATAATTTGGAAGCCATACAAAGGGCCTTTTCATATCTCCGCTGCTTTATCTTTGCTCACATAAAGCTGCATGTGAAAGGAGCACTGTCCAAGCTGTTTGCAGGTGGACTCTCTTGTAGTCTGCTCAGCTTTGAAAAAAGCAACCTGAAATTCTGGGAAGCCTGAGAGAACCCTCAGTCTAAGACCCATAGACAATACAAACAGAATTTTGACTTCCCTAACTTATCAGAAGCTACAGTCCTTAACAACTCTAAGGAAATGGGAAGAAAAGGCAGTTTGTCTAGTAAAAGAGTACTTGAAATTGGACGTGAAAGACTAAGATGCAATGAAAAGCTTGCAGGAAAAAAAATACCTACACTTCCTGATTAAAAATTAGAATTTCAGCATTTTTCAGAGTCTAGCTTAGGCTGCATGGGGAAACCAAGACCTCACTGTATGATCAACAGAAAGTGCTCAGCTCCCTGCAGGCTCCTCTGGGGTGGAAACTTTCTGACTAGGATGCAAAAGATATAGGGACCAAATTCTGGGTCACAGGTAATAACATCCAAGCCCAAAGGAGGATGATGCACCAGGCTCTCCAGTAGGCTCTGTCCCAACAGAAGGAACTTGTGGCTGTCATGCAATTTTAATTCCTAGTCTTATGTATGTGGCTCTCTATCATTCTGCTGTGGAACTGGCAGACTTGGATTTGGAAGTCAACTCGGAAAAACTGAAGGCAGAAGCTGCAAGGAAATGGCACCAGTCATTGATGGCAGGACAAATGTTTTTCCTGACAGGTGAGTGAGAAGGTCCAGTGATCCTCTACTTGATTCTCTGCAGCTTCCTTCATTCCCTTAGTATCTTTCTATTTCCTTTGCTCTTTTTCATGGAATCCAGACCTGATGTTGTACTATCAACCAGTGCAATATCTATGCTGCAAACAACAGAAAGTTTATCTTTTATTTTGCTGTTACTTGACCCAGCCATGTAGTTTCCCTCTCCTGGTCTGTTTGAGACCATTTCTTCTCCCTGATGTTATTCCACCTCATCACACCTTCAAAAATGCTGCTGTCTTGCCTGGATCCACCTCTTCTCTGCTGGGCACTCCTGGTCCTTCTCCAGCCAAGGTTGTCACATTAGGCTGAGCTGGGAAAGGAGGAAGGAGTGAGAGGTGACCAGGACAAAATGGCACATGCAGAGCCTGAGGACAGGGGAAGGGTCTCTAAATGGAGCCAAACAGGGCAATGACTTTCCAATGATTTGAAATTGGCAATTGGTTAGAAAATAAGTACTGAGGAGTTGTATGCTCCCATGAGAAACATTTTACAATGAGAATGTTATCTGGGATCTGCACAGGTCTGTGGCCTCTCACTTCTGGAGGGTATTAGCAAATTAATTGGCATGAGAACTTTGGGCAGTATGACAGCCAAGCCACAGAGGAGACGTGCCAAGAGCTCAGGAAAAGGAATCTGAGCAGTGCTTGAAAACCACACCACTTCAGTGCATGAGCAAGTGTTCTGTTTTGTGAAGTCCGCAGAGGTCATTAGTGATGGACAGTCTGCTTTTGCCTCTAGTTGGTGCTGGCTGGTATATGACATGAGACCACTGGTAATGCAGCCAGGAAAGGAGACGGCTGGGCACGGCCAGGAGCTGATGCTGCAGGAGGAAGGTGGCACTGGGTATTGTACTTCACGTTCCTCGGTTGGTTCCTCACCAGAAGTATAAAATCCCTGTAATTTCCTAACTGAAGTAAATATGCTACCAACAGGAAATGAGGTGAGTGAACCCTTTTGGTGATAATCTGCTCTCAGAGTGTCTGCACAGCTTTTTCTGGGCTGATGCCTACCCCTTTCTGCTCAGCAGCCAGTATGTCTGCGCTTGCAGCCACAAGTGAGCCAAAACTTCCTTTCCTCCTCATCCTTTTGTCTAGACACTGTGACCAGGAGCAGGGTGCCCCTTGGTCTCCGGCAGAACTGAGGACATGAACCAACAGAAAGGGGGAGAAAATACAGCAGTATAAAAAGGCCGATGAACTCTCTTTTTCACTAGTAATTCTCCTCCTTGGCAGCAGTAGAAATAGTTGAAACTAAAGCCTGAAAAAGAGAGTGGTCCCCTGAAAGTCATTTTTCACTTTAATCCTAGGGCAGTTCTGCAGAATTTTACTATTTTTTCCTTTCAGAAAGTAAGAATTAATTAAGGTCAGACTCCCCAGTACTTGCAGTCCAAACATGCTGCTTTATCTGAAAAGTTGAAAGCATTGAAGTCTGACTTGGACAAACAGTTCTCTGTGACAGTCCTTTTTAAACAAACAACCGCATCATCCAGGAGCTTTGATAAATGCCTGAAAAAGTTCAGGAACTACATAAAATAAAGTAAAAGTCATGGAGGAGGGATGTGGGAAACAATGTAAGAAGCTGAACAGGTTCTGTTTCAATAATGTGATCTGTTAGCAGGACCCATTTGGGGATGGAGGGGAGTTAGAGAGCATCTGTCAGTTGTTTAGTGGTCAGCCCAGCCCTAACCCTTAACAGAGATGTAGCTGCCATTTTTTTATGTTGTTATTTTTTATGTGAGGGGGTGGTGGCATTTTTCATTGCATGCCACACAGCTGACTGGTAGGATCCTTGCCTGGGTGAAAAAGCAATGAGATTCTGAGGGTAAAGATTGTTGCTTTAATAAAAATACCCAAGCCCATTTTGCTGCCTGGATAATAAAGAGCTTCTAGAAGGGTAGAAGTGGGCACAACTTAAAGATGATTGTACCAACCTCCCATTTCACATAGGAAAAGAAGATATATATCTGAAGATATACCTCCACAAAAATTTTATGCGTGACCCTTTACTGGTGCTTGCACTTATGTCTGCTTTGCTGTCTCCAGCCGAGCTCTGGACACTGATGAGAGAGGAGGAGATCTACTCTATTGTATCTTGGGTGCAAGATCCATGTTGCACTGATATTTGTGTTGGCTGCTTAAAATTAGCTAGGGCTGTTTGCTTGGGGCAACAAGCTCACCTTCCCATACAGCCACCCATGTGCATTGAGTGTATTCACTTCCCCTTGCTCTTTGTCCTTTCTAACCTAGGAAAGTTCCCATGTGATATTTGCAGCATTAGCTGCATCCTATCTCGTCCTTGTGCTCCCTTTCTTCTCTCAAGTTTCTTCTGCAAGAATCTCTTGCACTTGTTTTTATTGAAGTTTTTTGGTTTGTCAGTAAAGTGCCTGAATTTGGTTGGCAACTCTGACCCTGGGGAAAGGGACCATGGCTTTCTTTGCTAGCTGCCATAGAGTTTGCTGTGGAACATCACTCAGCAGGCCCCTGGGGGCTTGCTCTGAGTCACAGAGAGGTGGGTCCCAAATTCCTCTGCCTGACTTGGTCCCCTGGTGTAAGCAACCCCTTCCGCCAAGAGCAGAAGTCTGGGAAAGAGGAGACTGGGGTAGGAGCTGGTGTTGGAAGAGAGAGATGATAGCACAAGGAAAAGGGAGAGAGGATGAGAATCCCCAGGGGAAAGGCTCTGACATGGTGGTGTGTGCTGGTTTATTTCCCTTCTATTTGCCTGCAAAGCAAGGTGGTGCTGTGGGGCCCAATGAGAAGCTGGATGGAGACGCTTTCCCTAACAGCAGTGCCAGGAGGGATATTCTGGAGTCTGTCTCACCTTTCTATGAATTAATCTACAATGTAGGGGGGAAGTGTAAAACCATGGAAACCTGCAAGAAATCTGAAACAATATGCTGCCCCTCCTAATGAAGAGACGAGTCAAATTCATAAACAGCAGTGATGAGCACAGACATAATGTATATGTATTTGCTTCTCATATTTTTCTATGATATATCATCCTCCATTTCTTACAGAAAAAAAAAAAAACACCAAAAAAACCCACCAGAAAAATTGTATTGAACATGGCAGGTAACCTTCTGTAAATACAGCTAGGAACTTCACATAGTGCTTATTCTCACCACTGCATTACCATGTGGCGAGGAGTCGCATGTGAGGATTTTGCTGTGAGGTTTTACAGCAAAACCCTTGAGACTAAGACCTGCCTGTGAGCCTAGGAAAACTGTCACACCCCTGCGTTTCCCTTTCTGGAATGACATGAGATGCAAACATATTTGGGGCAGGGAGATTTCAGTCAAACCTGCCTTCTGCACAGACTCCTTCCATAATCCTGTCTGTGGGTTTGGTTTGCTTGCTGGCTGGGGCAGAACAGTGGCATCTGCAGGTGTCTGTGCCAGGTCTTGGGGAGGAAAGTGACCTCCTCAAGGAGCCCAGGATGGATGCTCAGCATGGTGTTCAGCAACCTGCAGAGACAGTGATGCACAGGCAGCGCCTGCCTGCCCACCCTCCTTTCCCTGCCTAAACCAAAAGGGAGCAAGGGCTGCCAGGGCCTGTGGCCCTTCCTTTCTTCCCTATTATCTACCAGTAGCCACCTGTGCTTACAAGGAAGATCCTGCATTTACATCTTGCGAGGTGCAAGCCCTTCTGATTGTATTTACAGAGGAGCTTGGCAGCATGGGCATAACAAGGGGCAACACCAAGCTTTGCTGCTGGGGAAAAAAAAATGAGGGGAAGTGCTATTTTTTCCAGCTCTGGCAGCCAGTACCGTTGGTGAGAGAAAACCTGCAGCCAGTTTCAAGAGATTAATGTTTGACCAGTCTCCTGGGAGCAAATGAGAAATTAGTTTCTATCTCACTGGCCAATCCCTGCCAACCCTAAGAGCACTTTGAAAAAAAGGCGCTAAATCAGCTGCCCTTTGAGACTTGCAGGGGAAAAGAGGTGAGCTTTCACAGGCAATTCCTTTGTGCCACGATGTTTTTCCCCTTGCTTTGCTGGACTGAAATCTGCCTGCTACTGCTCTGCAGTGGCTGCCAACTGAAGAAGCCAAAAGCAATGGGTGAGTGGAGCGTTCATGAGGTTAATTCCAGAGCAGCTGCAGCCTTTCTTAGCAAGTAGAGAGACTCAGACCTCATCCTGGCTGAAAAATTTTAATCGGTAACTGGAATAGGAGCTGGTAATCTGGGAGTTGGTCAGCAGTAAAATGGGGAAATGCAGGTCAGAGTGGGCACAGGGCAGTTTGTCTTTTCACTCAAGCTGTGTTTTCAGCCTGATTTCTTAAAGTGTTTGCTAAGCTCCTCAGCAGAAGGGATGGAATAGGTTTGCATTTCCAGTGCACATGTTTGGGTGGTGCATGGTTCTGGTGGGAGAGTCTGGGGCAGGGGCATATTGCTCTGCAGCCATTTGAATTGCCTCCCAGCTGTGGGGTGCCCTGGGCTGCTCTGCCTCCCCCTACCCTCCCACAGGTGCCAGCAAGAGGTAAGCAGGGATGCCCTTGGGACTGAGAACCACTTTTGCTGGGTGGTTGCTGCATGTCAGGTCTGTAAAAGACACCTCTGGGCCTCTGGGGACAAAGGCAAGCTAAAAGTAGTGCGCTGGGAAGAGGCAGGCAGATGAGCCCAGGGCTCGAGTTTGCTGTGCTTGCTAAGGAGCCTGCCTGCCCTCTGTTCACATGCTTGTCTTTGTCCTCACCACGGGAAATATATAGCGTAGACTCATGATGTGATGATCACTCACGAGACCAAGGTGACTCAGGTCTCCTGTGCCACACAGCCTCGTGGTGGAGTTCCTTCCTCCAGTGCTCTGTAAAAGGATAACACTGGAGCTGAACACTCTATAGCCTTCCCTGAGTGAATTGCTTTTCCTCTTGCTCTGTTTTTTTGGGTTTGCTTTGTTCCTAGGTTTGAAGCAAGCGGTGAAATCTAATAGCATTGTTACAGCAGCCTTTGGTGGTGAGGCAAATTTATATTGCAACTTCTCGCTCTCAGTGGATGTTTTGCAAGTCACCTGGCAGAAGAGAAATGAGTCTTTCTTCCAGAACATTGCCACCTACAGCCCAAACCACGGGCTGAGGTTGATAGGGTCATTTCGGAAGAAGGCACGTTTCACTTCAGCAACCCTGAAGACCTCCGCTATCACGCTACAAAATCTCACATTTGAGGATGAGTCCTATTACAGATGCCTTTTCAATGTGTTCCCTCATGGGTCTTTCAGCAAAGAGATGTGCCTCAACATCCAAAGTAAGTTTTCCACTAACACCTTTCCACTCTGGCACTCAGCACAGGGCTGCTGTAATCAGGAGGTGGGCAAGGCATTGTGTCCTCTGCTATGTGGAGCCTTTTCATGCAGCAGCATCTCCTTGGTGAATAGTCTCTGGAATTGCCACACCTTTCCTCAGAGAAGGTGAAGCTGAATAAGCCAGGAGGTGCTTTCAGATAAGAACCCTTGTAGACAGAGGTGACACGTTCAGCTTTGACCATAAACCTACCAGAGAGTGTAAAAAGTACCTTCTCTTTTTGCTCTCAGCGATTTCTGAGCTTACAGTGGAATACGATTCCCACAAACCCGCTGAGGATCCCCTCACTGCAGTTTGCTCAGCAACAGGAAAGCCTGCCCCCAAAATCACCTGGCTGGATGACAGAGACCTGAAACAATCCACTGAAATACATCACATCCAAAATGCAAATGGAACAGTAACAGTAGAAAACAGACTTACGTTTACTGCTGACCACCTCCATGCCTTGACCTGCCTTCTTGACCACCCACAGGGAAGGAAAGTGAAGACAGTTTACCTGGAAAAAGGAAATAAAGGTAGGCTGTATTTGTAACAGAGAAGTGCAGCATGTTTTGGGGAGTGCTTAGGAAAGGACATGCAATTGTGAGAGTGCTTTTTGTACTTGCATAGGTCTCACTAGATATTTTTCTGGGAGCTCATACCTCATACTAGATGAACATTTCATGACTTGAAACCATCCAGAAGACTCCTCCCTGTGCTGTCTCTGTGTCTGTGTGTGGGGCTTATATAGATATGTAATAAATGTGTGGATTTGTGAGTACATATGTATATATGAATTGGTACGTATATATTTCTACATAATCACTAGTTTAGAGCAGATGCAATCAGCTATCCAGCAGTATCCACAGCTGGAGAGGACCAGCAAAGCAGTCCCCCGGCTGTCAAATGCTGAGGAGCAACATTTTGCATGGAAGATCTTGTGGAATTTCTTCATACAGAAAGAATGTCGTGGTTTGACCCTGGCTGGCAACCAGGTACCCATATAGCCGCTCTCTCGCCCCTCCCTGCTTTGCTAGACAGGGGGAGAAAATATATCAAAGGGCTCAAGGTTTGAGATAAGGACAAGGAGATCACTTTCATTTACTGTCCCGGGCAAAACAGACTCGATTTCAGGGAAATTAGTCAGATCTATTAAAAGAACAAATCAGAGAAGAGTA